GGAAGGAAGGAAGGAAGGAAGGAAGGAAGGAAGGAAGGAAGGAAGGAGGGAAGGAAGGAATAGTGATATGAAAGAATACTAGCACCACCCCTACTTGAACTACAAAATATTCCACTCAGTAGAAGCAAAATATATGTTTTTTTTTAAAGCATATACACAGATTTACCAAGAGATTCTGGGTAGGAAATAAATCACTCTGTATTAAATTAAACCTTCAAATGGTAGTTAAGTATATTCTCTGACCACATGGAGTCCAATCAGAAATTAATTAACATAAAGATACCTACAGCCAGGGGATGGTGTACACACCTTTAGTTCTAGCACTTAGGAGGCAGATGCAGGTCAATCTATGAGTTTGAGGCCAGCCTTGTCTTCACAGCAAGCTCTAGAACAGCCAGGGCTATAGAGAGAAACCCTGAACCGAAAAACCAAAAAGAAAGAAACAAACAAACCAAGAGAGATACAATATCTCTAAGTATTTAGATATACAATATCTCTAAGTATTTAGAAACATATCAAAGCACTTCAAAAAGTAATGTACATGCCCCAAAGTAGGAATGTTTATTCCTATTTGTAATGGATTAAATTAACACACCTCAAATTCTTTCTACCATATATATGTATATATTCACTAACGATGAATTATCTCTCAATTTCTGTGTTATGTCAACTTTTCCAAAGCTAGCATTTCTGCTAAAATCAATGCTGCTGCTTTAAAGATAGGTTTAATATCTTACCAAAAATCATGTGCTTTGTGCTAGTGAATGTTTTCTTTTATCTTTTTTAAATTTATTTATTACAGTTTATTCACTTTGTATCCCAGCTGTAGCCCCCTCTCTCATCTCCTCCCAGTCCCACCCTCTTTCCCTGTTCTACTCCTATGGCCCTCCTCCAATCCACTAATGGGGAGGTCCTCCTCCCCTTTCATCTGACCCTATCTATCAGGTCTCAGCAGGACTGTCTGAATTATCTTCTGTGGCTTGGTAAGGTTGGCCCCTCCCACACTTCAGGGGGAGGTTATCAAAGAGCCAGCTACTGAGTTCATGTCAGAGACAGCCCCTATTCCCCTTACTAGGGAAACCACTTGGAAACTGAGCTGCCATGGGCTACATATATGCAGAGGTTCAAGGTTATCTCCATGCATGGTCCTTGGTTAGAGTATCAGTCTCCGAAAAGACCCCTGTGACTAGATTTTTTGGTTCTGTTGCTCTCCTTGTGGAGCTCTTGTCCTCTCCAGGACTTTCATCACCTCCTTCTTCATAAGATTCCCTACACTTGGCCCAAAAATTCCACCCAGCAGGATATCGAAGCAGATCCTAGTGAATGTTTTTATATCCTATTATCTTTACTAATGCCACAGATCATCAGACTCTAAGTCATAGGCAAGGTCCATTCTAACTCAAATATAATTACCAAAACTTTGTTAAAATACTGAGGAGTAGCTGACATTATTTAAGTAAAATACAAATGTCAAGCTTCTATGGTTCAGTAAAAATTGAAGCATGATAAAGTCCACTCTAAGACACTGTTGATTACCTTGCCATTGGTGATATATTTGCAATTGATTTTAAGAAATTTCTCAGTAAATGCTTCTTCTTCCTCAGATGTTGAAGATACAACTCTTGCAGGCCGGATTCCACTAACAGTAGATGAAGGAGGTGCTTCTTTTGGATGGACTACATCGGGAGTCTAAGCAAAGCAAAATCAAATACAAAAATGTTGTCTTAGGAAACTAATGACATACACTGTGAATGACAAACAAATAACATCCCCAGTATGTACTATTTCTTTCCCTCTCACCACAGTAAGATAAATATTGCACTGTCTCACAAATTGTAACAATAAAGATATTATCTTTTTGTTTTGTTTCTGTTTTTTCAAGACAGGGTTTCTCTGTATAGCCGCGGCTGTCCTGGGCTCACTTTGTAGACCAGACTGGTCTCAAACTCACAGAGATCCACCTGCCTCTGCCTCCCCAAGGGCTGGGGTTAAAGGTATGTACCACCATGCTTGGCTGGTATTAACATTTTTAATAAAGATTTTTAAATACAACATAAACCTCCATTTTGAATGCTTAAAGTACAAGGATGCACACATATATGCACCCACATGCATGCACGTGTGTACGCGCACACACACACCCACACACCCACCCACCCACCCACACACCCCTAGAAAGCATTAAAATGTAAGTAGCTTGTATCTCCTCCATGCTCAGCACACCTGTTGCAATGCTGTGAATTAAACCACTGGTTTGGATAACACTAAGGTGGCACCATGAGATGCCACAGCACGGAGGAAGGAAGAGTTGGCCAGTGGTATCTGGTCTACAGCAAGTAAGTAGATGAACTCATCAGGAGTATTTTTCAACTTATTTTTTTCTGTAATTTCAACTGTGTATATACTGTGTCTGTGTTACATATGCAAGTTTGCAGGTATGCCTGTACATGTGTTACTTATACATGTTGAGACCTGAGGCCTGTTCAGCAGTAAATTGTTCTCTATTAATTGTGCTCTTTTCTATCTTATGCACTATTGAAGCATCTCTCAGTCAAACTCAGAGTTTGCCTGTGTTTAGCCAAATTCTGGTACCTGGCCAAACAAGTACGATCAAGCTGAGATGCAGATCTGGGTAGTGATACAGAACCAGTTAAAGAACTGCACTATACACACTTTCCCTTCAAGTCTCCCACCAGATGAGAGGTAAAATGCCCCACCCAAAAAGTAGATGATACAGAACTATCAGGAAGTGCAAGACAGAGCAAAAGCTACCAACAAATTCATTTATAGCAGTTTATTTACTCCAAATTACAGATTTGTTGTCTACCACAAGTATCACTATCTACAATGAGACATTATTCGTGGAACAAATATTTCAAAACATATTGTCAAATATGTTAAAGGTATGCCTCAGTGAGCTGCAGCTTCCTCACAGTCTCAACGCTTACAACTCAGTATCTATAACAACCCAAATATCTCAATGTAATCGTATTATAAAGAACACAGGAAAAAAAAAAAAAGAACACAGGAGTTAGCTTAGCAAATTCTCAGATGTAGCAAGAGGAGACATTTTCTTTCTAAAAGAATCAAAGTTGTTCAGAGGATTGTGACCCCACTATAACTTCCATTAGTGTGAACCATTTTCAAGATGTCCTTATCTCTATGGAAAGCTTGTTTGAACTAAGAGTCTGGCTCTTGATGCAATGGTTTTGAAGCTCAGTAGAGGGCTTTCTGATGTTCTGAATATTGTTTTAACTACGAAAGGTTCTTGAGTAGAAATACAGCTATCTAGCTAGGTCAGCATTGCCCCAAACATGCAACTGTGAAAAGCCAAAGGCCTGTAGTAAGTGCAACCTCTCCATAAAATTTTCCTTTGGCCTAGGCTGTGTGTATGTACCTGTGCTTTAATGAGGGTGTGAGACTGGGAGGAGGGGCATGGGACGATGACTTCAGACATATTCTCTAGTAACATGTATGTAAAACACAGAAGGTCTGAAAAAGAAGAGCTATAGTGGTACAGAAAAAAAATATGTAATTATTTCACCCAACATATGCATGGTACATAAATTTTAAAATAAAATTTTAATAAAATAATTTTAGTAAAATCATTTACCTCTTCTTGTAAGTTAGATTTACTCACACATTAACTCATTTTTATTCTACTTATTACAACCAAGAAGTTGAGAAAGCTTAAAACAAGATGCAGAATGAAGTAAGATGAAAAAAAGTAAGGTGCAATTGAAAGGCATTCATGTTGGCTTTGGATTGACTACACTTTTTTATCATCAGTCTAAAAGAAAAACAGTATATGTTTAATTTTCCTAACATTATAATTACAACACTTTCCCCCTCCTTTCTTCTCTTCAACTTCTATGCTCTTTCTCTTTCAATTTCACGGCCCCTTTTTAATTGTTGCTACATATACTTGTATATATGTATTTACATATATATATATTCCCAAATATGTAACTATAGCCTCTGTCTGTATAAAGGCACACATACAAATATTCAGGAATGTCCATTTGGCACTGAATAATCAATTAGTGTGCTCCTCCCTGGGGAAGCCTATTTCCCACTCTCAAAATTCCTTAGTTGGCTGCAGTTCTTTTTCTAAGGTTGGGCCCTTGCTTTTTAAGTTCTAATTACAGACTGAGACTCCCATCCAGAAGCAAACTGTCACTCAGTAATTTATTCATTTGTGTGGTATTGCAAATGTGGAAATCCCTTCTCTATAAATGGGTTTTCCTAAAACCTAAATACAAAGCCCTACTGTAATGGCCTATCTACTTCATCAGATATAGCCATGTGATTTTATTCAGAGAATATAAGACCAACGTCTGACTGCAGTATAATCTCTTAGAAAAATATACACTAGAGGTTAATGAGATGGCTCAGTAGTTAGGGGCACTACAGAGGAGTCCACATCTATACTGCAGTTTCCAACTCTAATTCCAGGGGACCCAATACCCTCTTCTAACCTCTGCATGCACAGGCACATAGAAAGGGCATATACATACATGCACACAAACACTAAAATACATCAAATAAAAGTAAATACATTTAAAATAAAGAATTAAATATATATTAAAAGTATGACTCCCTAATAAATTTTTGATTTTAAAGAAAGTTGAAAAGGAACACATCAAACTAATATATCATTATCCATGCATCACTGTTCCATAAGAATTCATTAAAATAATTTTATAATAATTGGTTTAGATTTAACATAAAGTGTGTATATTCTGAGATTCAGATTTATGCTTAAAATCATTTAAGTTAAAATTCTAATTTATATTAGTTACTACTCCTTAATCTATGGTCATGTCACCCAGAATGCACCCAATCTCATCAGGTAACACAGATAAATTTATTTTATTTATAATGTATATTTTTAAAATAGGGATTAGTCTCTTTCACACTGAGCATAAAACAAACAAACAAACAAGCAAAAAAAAAAAAGGAGAGGCTTATGACCTAAGAGTGACACAGGGGCGAGCAAACTCTTCAAGCACAGGCGATACTCAGCTTTCAAACTGCTGGGGTGGATCCAGCGTTTTTAATGGTGACTGTCTGCCATTATCTGCAATCAATGCACAAGCCAGTCTTCAACTTCAAGATGCCAAGTGACAATGACAGAAGGAGAGGGATATGTTCTCCTTGGAGTCAAACATTAACAAGCACGTCCACATTTACGAGAAGTTACCCTTACTTCTTTGTGCCTTCTATGTAGAAGTAAACAGTATTTCCCAGATGCCTTTAAACACTGCTAGTACTGCCCCAAACAAAAACTATACTAAAGTCCTTCATTTCTTAAAAGTGATTAAAATATATGATAAAAATTAAAGTTAAGATGATGAACTGTAATTTTCTAGAAATTTTATAATGTTAGTCATTGTGTCTCCCAAAGATACACTGAAGTTTCAACTCCTAGGACCCCAAATGGGGACTTGATATGGCTATGGGCCTTTTTTTGGTTTAATTAGTTTATCAAAGGACATATGGAAGCACAAGAGTTCTTAAACTAGATGGCAGGGAAGCAGGTCATGTGAAAACAAAGTGATACATTTTCAAGCCAAAGAAGTTTAAGCTCTAGCGAACACTAGAGCTTACTGCTTGCTAGATAAGCAGAAGACTGGACCCATTGTGTTTTGAGGAGGTAATGGTTCTGTAAATCACTGCAGGCTTCTGGCTTCCAGAATTGGAAGACAGGAAGTTTCTGTTGCTATAAACACTCAACTTAGAGTCTTTTGTTGGAGAAATACCAGAAAATGAACAGGGGCAATGGTAAAATTTAAGTAATTTAGAAAGAGTACATTAAGAAAGCCACAGGGGCTGCTCTTCCCGAGGACCATATGTCAGATGTCAGCACCTAAACCAGGAGCCTCTCAGCAGCCTGTAATCAGCTCCAGGAGATCTGACGCTCTCTACTGGCCTCCTTGAGCACATGCATAGATATGTAGACATACAGACACATAAATAAGTAATCAAAAAAAGTTCCCCAATAACCTTAATTGTAAGTTCAGAAAGAAAAAAGCAATACTTCTGTTTGACTATACAGTTTAAACCATCCTTCTGAATAATCAGCCAACTATATAATCATTTTTATTTGATTAAACAAAGTTTTGTACTTCACTTTTTACCTCTATGAACTCTGGTTCCTACAAGCTGTGACACATATTTTCTTAAATCCCATGTCATCGCTGCACAGTATGGGTTCTTGTTAGTTCACACAATAGTTACTTAAGGCAACATTCAAGGTGGTGTGATGAGGATGTCTGAGTAAGAATGTCCCCCACAGTCTCATGTGTTTCAGTGCTTAGTCACCAAGGATTAGCACTGTTTGAAAGGAGTAGAAGCATTTAGAAAGACAAATGGGATGTGCATTGAACTTATGACAGGAGTCTACCACAAAAGGCATCTGAAAGACTCTACCTAGCAGTGTTTCAAAGCAGACACTAAGACTCATAACCAAACCCTCGGCAGAGTGCAGGGAATCATATGAAAGAAGGGAAGTTAGTATGATGTGGAAAGGATAGGAGCTCTACAAGGACCAAACATATCTGGGCACAGGGTCTTTTCTGAGACTGACACTCAACCAAGGACCATCTATGGATATAACCTAGAACTTCTGCTCGGATGTGGCCTATGGTAGCTCAGTAACCAAGTAGTTTTCCAAAGTAAGGGGAACA